GACAGGCGACAGCTGGCACTGTCCCCGCTCCACCGCCGCTCCGCCACCGCCACACGGTCCAGTCAACTTCTTGCTCTTCTTATCTCCATTACCAGATGAAATATTACTTACTATTTAGTTCAAACTTTCAATATAAATCAAATAACCAAATTTATTTCAACTTGAGCGACCTCTAAATAGGCACTTTGTATGGATTCGAAGTTGTAAGTAAAACGAATAAAATATATAAATACATACATACAAAGAACTAGTTCAATTTGTATATATTTTACAAATGCAATGCATCGCTCCGAAAATAATACAATATAATAGAAGGAAAAAGATTCCTCGTTCTCTCACTTGGGAAGACTGACGGGAAATACGGTTTTATTATCTCTAGAGCAGCAGCATCCGGTCAGCAACGAGCTCACTTCCGGTGCCATTTTCATAAAAAAGACATCAACGACTATGACACATTTCTCGTGTTTGTAACACAACGGTAAAAGGAACAAATCCATACATGCAATGACTAGTATGGGCGTCAATAGATTACCCAGACAACCAGAAATGGTAACTGTTGGCTTAATTTAAATACTCAGTTATTTGTAATATTTATGTTTGTATAAGGTGTGTGGTTTAATCTTTAATTCGTTTAATAAAAAGTTTTTCTTTCTTTCAAACTGGCATATCTACATACATCGCTGATTCCTCTTCCCTTCGCCGGGATTTCCTTATTAGAATATAATTGGAAGAGTAAGAAATAGTCTCCGGCTCTGTCGTCACCTCGCTCATCGGAGGACTTTCGGTGTTCGGAGAATTTTGACAGAGATAGAGTAACATCTTATGTCAACATCTGAAGAAACAAAAATCGAGTCCTTTCTCTCCACAATATTACTACTGACATAAACCAATTACTAAAGGATGAAGGTATCCTGGTTTTCAAAAAGTAAATCCTTAAGTAATAACAGTTGTTACGTCGACGAAAACAAATTACATAGACTTGGATATATTGATAAATATTTTTTCTGTGTTTTTTTACTTCTTGTTTGTTTTGTATAAAATACCAGTTGATGGATTAATAATCAGTTTTATTGTGGTGTATATTGTATTTGTACTTTTGTTAAAGTTGCATAATTTGTTAATTTATCTGTTTTGTTTACGTGTATAATAAATACATAGCACAGCACTTACTTAATTGTATCAACGTGCGAATGAATTACAATTATATTATAAAAAAAATACCCAAAAGAAACGTTCGTTATTCTTCCTTAATACTCTCATCTGTGATTAAAAAGAGCTCAGATGTTTCTCGGTGTACTGTTTTATCTTCAATCTACATATATGTCAGTATTGTCATTATACATGCACGTGTAGCCAATGCGTAAATACTGTATGTATAATGCTCACGCACATGCCATTGTGACCCTCTAGCAGGCGTCATGTGTGTTTGTGTGTGTGTGCCTACTTCGCCTCTTCGGTTTTTTTACTCGCTACTTTTTTTACTCCGCTTTATTACATCGCGCTCATAATATAAGCTTTATCACATATCATTAAAAATATTTAATATTTGCCTCTTACGTATTACATTGTATTGCAGGTTGACATCCAGTACAATGTAGAACGGACGGAGAAAAAATAATTTTAGCGTATGTTATAGTAGTCCGCGGCGCACCCGCTGCGACGCTTCATGTAAACAATCGGTTATATAAAATAAACATATTCCTGCGTGTGTGGGAACAGCTCGTAATAATGAACTTGATTAGTTATTGCATATACAGTTTAAACTGATTCGGTTCGGAGAGTAACTGACGTACTTGTTTCTTTGCTGATTCGATATACGAAAATTGAACGACAAGTTATTCGTTGTAAGGCGTAGCGCGGGAGTAATTCCCCGATGAGTGTGCGTGGAGAACGCCAAATTCTAGTCCCCTTCCTCTGCGACCCATTTTTTTATAAATAAAGGAAGGGAAGGGGATGTGGACTCGACGGGATAAGAAACGTGTAGGAAATACTTTTATGCCGTAAATTCCCTCAACTGCCTGTGTAAGGCAACACGCAACTAGTTGCATATTTGTATCTACGAGCAGCAATAACTTCGCTATTTCAATGACATTAGATTAATACCTACTATAAAAAAGACAATATGGAAATGAGTCGCGGGTGGTCTCGCTAAGGTATAAATTGTTTGCGTCATAATAAAATATTCGATATCATAACGCTAACAATCTACCCTTCAGATCCACCCTCATGATGTGTACACAACACGTCAACACAGAGATCCAGAAGTATTGTATTTGTTCATGTTGCGTGTGCGCAGAGCTTACAGAGGGGTCGGGGACAGGGGGGGGGAGGGTGCTCCCGCCGCCGCCAGAACGCCGCTAGTGTCACGCTTGCTTTTCTGGGCGACGGACGTATGTTTTGTGAGTGTATACAGTGTGTCACATGCCGCGGGAAAGCTTACGCCTTCATCGGAACGATTTACTTTGGAGGGTGAGTCGATTAGTGGAGTCATGTGGCGCTTATCCCATTGAACCTCGTTGGCGCGAACCGTCAAACAGATTTATTGGAACGACAATCGAAATATCGGCTTATATCGAGAGCGTGTTTGCCTGTGCCTGAGCAATTTCTGGCATGAAAAGAATGTCACCGTGCGCTATTTTTTACAAATGATCTGTTTTAAATCTCAACGATACTAATGTTTGCCGGTCGCACAGTATTCTATACCCTATTTTTTAATCAGGAACTAAATGAAGTGGGTTACCTCAAACATTTCATGGGTTGTCACTTTTTTGCTCTTTTTAAATAGTTGTATGCTAAGATGTGCCATTACCGAAAAAAGAGAAAAGTTTGTTGTTGTTAGGGTTCTTATTTAAAACGTAATAATATATTTAAGAAAAATTTAAAAACACTCATTTATTGGTATTGATCGCCTTTTTGCCTTACAAATTGCTTTCGCGCCGCAGCGCAACCTGAGACTCCGACCCTTCTCGTAATAATAATTAGGGTTGCAGAGATCATTTGATCAAATATACCTCGGGCACAATTTGATAGTATAGAATACGCTGTTGTTACAATATTTGTTCTCAAGGCGTACAATACGCAGTAGTTATTTTATGGCATGAATTGTGAAAATTGCAGACGCACAGGAGTAGCTTGGAGTCCTTACATCAATGTTGAACTTACCAATGGTATTTAATAACGTTCCGGATCGCGCTCGACAAAATAATTCTTACCAGATTGGTAAAATACCGACGAGCTGCATGATTGTCTAAATTTGCGAATGTAGAATACGCGAAAGATCTGCTGTCCTCCTCCACTTTACGGGTCTAATTGTTATGTGTATTTTCCCGGCGAATCAATAAGTAAACTAAGCGAACTAACATCTCTACACCTTTGCCATTCTATACTATCCGGTTGCTTTGATTTCTGTGGATTAGATAAGAAATCTAGATTACTGTAAAAAAAAACATGAAACGATTGTAAAGGAACCTTTCATATCGCTATTTCGTTACGTTGGTTTGACTGTAAAATTGGTTTAATTTACTTTGTCTTCTTTATTCTACGAGCATTGGGCCATCGTGGTTGACTATAGCGCAGTCAGCCCTAACTTGGGTAGGCTCCGAGCCCCTCAAAGGGGACATACAGTGAGCTGATGATGAGTTAGTCTTCTTATATTCTCTTGTTTTATTATAATGACGCTTGTCCCTGCATGTTTTGCAAGGTGTTCGCAAGGGCTGGAGAGGGTAGCGGGGGACAGGAAGAGCGCACACAAACTACAACTATATTATATTTGTTTGACATTTCAAAATACGAGCGAGAGATGTATTTAATTATAGGCCACGTACGCGTGGACGCTAATTCGGGAGCGCTATTGTTAGGTCGCCTAGCGAACGCTCTTAGGTTAATGCCTGCTAGAAGACGCGCGTGCCGAAAGCCCTCCCTCCATCCGCCTCGCCCCGCACGCGTCACGCGCCCCACATAAACACACGCATGGCTATTTTAAACTGTCTTCAAAATATGATCATAGACATAATATTTGATGCCATTTGTCAAGCGGAGACGAAGAGAATCTTCAGCTTCAGCTCAGCACTGAGGCGGGGTGGACTGTGGAAGAATGGACGCAGTGTCAAGGTCGACACGCGGCAGTAGAGACGCAACGCAATTTTACTGGGTATACACACGATGTTTCAGCTCTCGAAGGGACGAACAGGAGTTTTTTTTTTACATTATGAGGCGGCAAAAGTGCAAGCGAGCACTTGAATTCTCCAGGAGAGGATGCACAAAAAGGAAACCTTCCCATCATTTCCTTAGGACACGGCACTTACACTTCACGCCTGTCTTTTATGTGGTCGTGGTAGTGGTGGTGTGGTGTAGTAGTACTATGCGAAACAACACATTCGTGAACGCGGTAAATTATATTCCTTTTCTTTTTGCCTCAAAGTGATTGGCCTATGTATCTGACGTATGTATATTACCCGCACCTAGTGGCCCATACGATTTTTTTTTCATGACCATGTTTAAGCGCTAATTGCCCGGGCCGGGATCACGATCCCACCTGACGTGAAGTAACCGGCGGACACTGTTAATTACTCTGCGTAGTTGCAGGGTCAATGCGGAAAAATTACCGAAAAAAGTGCGACGACATCATGGCCAAGATTAACGTAGGTTTTAGTACGGGAGCACCGGCGAGCGGCGTCCGGTGTTTTGTGCATTAAACCTATGGTATGTCAAGTTTAATGACTACCTAAACTTTAATAGACGGTTAGTTTGTGTTGTTTTACATGTCCCATGTAATGTTGTTACATTGTCCTTCAGCTCGTGCCGCGCGCTCCTATAAAGTGACACTGTTTACCAAAACAAAAATGTTTTTGTTTATTAACGTTGTTAGTTTAATAAGTGGTATAATATGTAGTAACTGAATGTTCGGCGAGTGGAGCGGCGGCGGCGGCGGCGGCGGCGGACTGCAGAACTGTAGGCGCGACCTCGCGGCTCTATTTCGGTGCTTCCTTGTGGCGTGCGGCTGATGCGGTAACGGCAGATCATCGTTGGCGCATCTTACGTTGACATATTCCCATTTAGAAAATAATTTTGCAATCATTAATGTAGATAAAGTTTTAAAAGTAATTTATTTATTAATATGGAATTTAGAAAGCCACAATAATTGATGCAAGATAATTAGCATAATATGCAATAAATAGCATTTAGTAATTTGGCAGTCAGCGGAAGAAATATATACATGGCATGACGTCATCGGCTGATGGCCATGTATATTGTACAGGAAGTTACTATAAGACGGACACGCAACGATATACAAAATAATTATCTTTATTGGCAAGTTATATCGACCATTTTGTCATATGATGTCTTTGGCATCGGGCCGCACATACCGGCGCCTACTCTAGCCTTTGTCTGTATACTACCAGGCTGCGGGACTGGCGTGTCTTTGTCCTGGACCGTAAGTCGTGCAACAATAATACACACACGCCCACTTCCCCCGGCACAGCTGCGTGCGCCCGGCACGGCCCGGGAACACCCGCGCGCCACTTTCTACAACTTCTCTGCACTATGTAGTACAGTCAAGGACATTTATTTCCTACCCATGACAACATACGCACGTGGAAAATAATGGTTCTTGAGGTCGCAATTTTTCGTGCTATATTCGACCGTTAGTGGTATTGTTGATTATTATTTGACTGTACATGCTATTTTTAAATCGCGTATTGCAAGCAATACTGTAGAAAAACATAATTAATTTAAACTGTGTTAAAAATTCTTTGTCATTTATGTCATTGTTGTCGACTTTGACCCGAATTTTTGTATGCTAATGACTTTTACCTTCATGGAGTATCGACAATTTTAAAAATTTTGAAGTATCCGAGCATCTCCCCTCGTAGCAATAAACTATTGCACGACATTCTGTTTATTAACATCTAGTAGTCTCGTATTATGTTTAGCTGCACACGCACTCTGTTTGTGCAATAAGCAAGCAGCTGAACTGGTAGAAGCGGCGGCTACTAACTCCAGTGGAAACGGAACCAAACGCTGTAAGAAATAGGAGTGACGAGCAACAGCAGATAAGTGGTCTAAGAATCGTTAACTTGCGGTGTATTTGTTGCCGAGTGTCGCATGCGTCGCGGAGCAATTCCTGTAGCTTTAAATAAATCAGGAATGCCTCGATTAGCGGCGAAAGCTATTACTTTAAGAAATTCTCTCTATAAATAGCGAGTCGAGACAATACTACCTTTAAATGTAAGTACGTCGCAAGTCTACGTGTGTGCACTAGCTCGCTCGCATAAACAATATCCGCTATATGTAACGATCGATGATATCGTCATTGTGTCACCTTCAGCTTCGTCACCCTTATTAACTTTAAACATGACGGACCATCCAAAACGTTTTTCTTGAGCTTACGCTCCGGCACGCAGCAGATGAAAGCTATTAGGAACAATGTGTTTCAAACGTTTGCTCAGATCTCTGGCGCGAAAATTATTTAGTGGCCGTTCCGCCCCATGACGTCACGGGTGCAACACAGCTCACACGTGCGCCAAACATCTTTCATATTAAATGTTCATTATTTATTGTTGTAAGTTTAATTTGTTGTAAATCTTTACATCTATAAAATAAATCATAAATCCTATAGCTAGTGAGTTGCAAGCGGAAACATTACCGCTTACGTACCTTCATTTATTTCACGAGTTTCGCTATATTTGAATGAATTCCTATAAAAATTCTATAAAATCCCTTGTGACAGGTGAAGGACTATCACGCGACGCTGAAAACTGCGGGGAGCTGGTACATGGCCGCGTGAAGCGCCCACGCAAGAGGCGTGCGCGGCATGCGCGGCGTGTGTGACGTGTGTGACCGGCGCAGCGTGTGCGACGTGCGCGGCGGGCTCGGGCGGCGCGGCGCTGTGCTGCTGTTGCTGCTGCTAGTGCTCGCGGCAGAGTTGGGTAAGAATTGTACATTTTAATCCAATTTCCTACACTCCGAGGACGTACCGACGTTTTTATGAAATGCACGCAAGCTGTCTGCTAGTACACGACATGACCGCCCGGCGAGGAGGCGACCCGACGACGTTCAATGTTATCGCCGCTATTAATACGGCAATGATCGTCCAGCCTGCTGGCCTCTCCCCGCAACATCTTGATGAGGCCGATTCCACGAGTTCCCGGATAATTTTATTATTTTTTATTCATTTTAACCACTAGAGGGCGAAGAGGATATTTCCCATATTTGTTTAAATAAAACTTTTTGTTCAATGCTTTTAATGTGTTCATGTTTTCAATAATAACTTGTTGCTTGCACATAAATCTTTAGACGTTATGTATAATAGATAATGGTGCTACGACGCTTACCGGGTTCTGCAGGAATAGGTATTTCTATATTAAAATATCATAAATGTTAAGACGAGTTCGATTGATGGCCGGCACTAAGTGACGTAGTAGTGATGCGACCCGCGCAGTCCCGCGGCCGCGCCACAAATAGCTCGGCGCGTGCCGCTCCTCTGCGCGCGTGCCGCCACATCTTTGACATAATAAGAGTTCGCGCAGGAAACGTGAATGGCGAGTGGGCGCGCTGACTCACCCCGCTCGGGCGGCGGCCGGCGCCCCTCTGCGCCCATCTGCGCCGCGCTGGTGCCATGGCCGACCTTCTGCCCCTGGAGTTACATTCCATTCGCCTCATAATTTTATTACCTAGACTAAATTTAAAACATCGCTAATGGTCAATCTAGCAAAGTAACTAAAGTATTTCGCGTGTCGTGTGTAAATATTTAGTGCTGACTACCGCCACTGGAGCAATAAACGATTTGCGGAAAATCACCCGGTCCTTTTCTCCGCATACTGTCAGCGCAGTATCCTTTTACATATATCTCCATCAGTCTTCATAACTGACTCGCTCCCTTCTTACGCATACCCTCGGTGCGATGTAAACACCGCACAATACATGTTTTCCCACAATCTACCACTTTTTTAAACACGAGTCACCATTCGCACTAACCTGTTCACGTTCGGTCACCATTCATACCGCGTGTGCTTTCTACCATTAAAACCGATTAACCGATTAATAGTTTTGGAGAGTAAACCATATTATTCCCTAAACTTGGTGTTATTATTTGTATGTACGTAGCACCCCGTCCACCCTCTTTAAATCAATTAATTCATACTGTCTTTGTCCTCCACTACGAAGTTACAAAGCTACCCACAATCAATTTCATTAACTTTATTTTAGGAGAATCGTAACTCAGTTAAAAATAGCGAGTATGGGAGAGTGTTGCGGATTTCCGGCGCGAGTGGCGCGCGGCAGCTCGGGCCGGGCACGGGTACATCCGCGCGATGAAACTGCGGTCG